AGAGAGAGAGAGAGAGAGAAGAACGATTGTTAGTGGGAATACATAAAGTGCTACTGTGAAATTATCTGGTGTTACTGTAGTCTGTGTTGTAGCAGTTATGCTTTTTACCGTTGCACGTAGAAGACGTGGGATGGATTCCCGCGAGGGAAAGCTGTATTTTTAGTGTGTCCGTCTGGTTGTTTGGATACTGTATATCATTCAGCCCACATAGGCATAAAACAATCTAGCTTCGGTTTGGGGGGGGGGGGGGTTAAGCAATTATACTACATTATAATACACGCCATGTTAATTAAGAGGATGGGGGTTTCCGTTCAAGGTTCAGCTGTTAATCTGAGACACGCATATAAATATCCCCAAACAGTGTGGGCCTATTTTCAGAATTTGGTTAATTAAGACTCGGTTTGCTTGCGTTGGGTCCAAAATGATAACACAAAACGCCACCCCCCCCCCCTACCCAACAAAGTGAGGCCTTATTGTAACATTCTGCTCTTGCAACATTCTATTGGGTTAAGTGTGAGTTTAAAGGAACCATGTTGAAATTATGATGATCGCCTTCCATTTGGGAATTATGGTGCAGCCCAAGGTGGGCACATTTCGCAACGATGTTTTTATACAGAGACAAGAGCGGAGCATAGCGAAAAAAACAAAACTAAACAAAAAACAAACAAACAAACAAACAAAAACAAAATAAAACAAAAAAACACAACAACTGAAGGAAGAAGTTGATTGGATCAACATACGAAACTTCGTCGTTTCAATAATTGTTACTTCGTACAAACCCTTGCAAGAAATAGTTACGAAACTGGATAAAATGAGCCTACGTTATTGCAACCTACGTGGTTTTTTTTAATGCCAGCGTCAACTATGTCATTGGTTTGGAATGTGATTCCTACTACGATCAAACTTTATTCTTGGTTATCTGTAAAACCAGGTCGCTGCTCAAAGTAAACAAGTTGAAAAATTGTAATGTAATATTGATCCTTCAGGAGACCTAATAGTAAACCTATACCATCAAAGTCGCTCTACGATCAAACATGACCCACTCTTCCCCCTCTCCCTCCCGAAAAAAAAATATATTTCAGGAACAAAGCCTTACAATAAGGCCCTGCTGTGGACATAGCTTTGGTGTACCACATAGGACTTTACTTTTGAAAATGAAATCAGAACTTTTCATTGTCTCTTTTATAATTCGTAGCCTAACTCGGAGTGCACGAATTGGAATACTGCGGCTTGGTTGAAAACTTGAAAACTGTTCTTCATCTTCCTTCTTTTCCTTTCTTTCTATCGCTTATACCCCCAGAGGAGGAGGAGGAGGAGGAGAGAGAGAGAGAGAGAGAGAGAGAGAGAGAGAGAGAGAGAGAGAGAAAGAAAAATGAGAGAGAGAGAGAGAGAAAAAGAAAAGGGAGAGAGAGAGAGAGAAAAAAAGAAAAGGGAGAGAGAGAGAGAGAGAGAGAGAGAGAGAGAGAGAGAGAGAGA